ACAAACCTAAAAAAAACCCCAACAAAGCAAAGAGAGGAATTATCCTGTACAACTGTGAAGCTTCTGTTTCTGGCAGATGAAATATTCTGTGCCTAAAACTATCCTGTGTTTGTAAGAGATACCAGATACTTCTGGGCAATGTCAGCAGTGAAACACACACCAGATGCTCGCAGCCCCACTGCAGCAGGCCTACCCACAGGCACATTGCACCTGCAGACCAGGCACATGCTGACGTACCATGTTCAACGTTGCTGTTCAGCTGAAGTCAGTGAGACCAGGAGATGGGCACAGTTCCAAACAAGTGACCTGAGATTTATTAAAGGTTAGTCCACACTTCAAAAAACTAGAACTGAGCAGTAATATTACTACCTACAGCACAACTTAAATAAAACCAGTCATGACTTTAAAACTGGCACATATTATTTATGCATCAGTGAGTGATCAGAATTGGTTGTGAGTCAGACAGGCCTTGTTAACTTCTTGCAATGTGACAAAATGTATTTTGAATCTTAATATGAGCAACAGGGGGACAGTAGGGAGAAGTAGCTGCAAGTTAGCAACAGGGAGGCCGCACAAGGGAAACAGCTTTTCAGTGGAAATAGCCCAGTAGCCTGCAATAAGCAGGGTCAGTAATTCTGGAATATCTAATGTATGTAGAGACCAGAGTTGCCTTCATCATATAAATCCTAATTAGAAAGTGCAGGGGGTGCCAGGCAGTGCATCACAGATTAACCAGCAAGTGCACACAGGGTTCTATGGATCCCACAGCAAAGGACCAAAGGCAGCCACTGAGTGGGGCAGCGCTGACATTGTGCTCAGACCAAAGGGTGTTTTCTGTCTTCTGTTTAGCATCTGGGAACTTGACAGACAAAGGATAAAAAAAAAAAAAAAAAAAAGAGCACCCTACCCAAGTTGCTCAGGCCTGATTCAATTGCTGCAGAAAGGCCACAGGATGGTCCTTCATTTCCTCCAAGACAGGCTAAAGGAACAGTCCTCCCAAGGCTGTTACATGAAACAGCATCTTACTCGGAGAGCTACCAATCCTGCCGTTCCCCTTCCCTGCAAGGCTGTCCTGTGGCTGCCCTTGCTTGAGTGAGGGGGCTGCGCATCTCCCCGCCTGCCCACGGATACGTGTTCCCTTTCTCTTCTGAGAAAGGGAGCCATTTTCTCCCCATCTCAGGGCCCAAAGCACCAACAACTCCGCCCCGTACCCTCACTGACTCTGCTCCCTGCCTGCTCACCCAGGGAGCCACTGTGCTCCAATCAGTGTTCTTTGCATTGGCACTCCTGCCTCCAGCTTGGCCAGCTCTGCTGGAGACTGATGCCTCTCTCTCTCACCATTTTGACCTACTAAGTGCTCCAGGGCAGTGAATAAGTAAGCAGAGAGAGTTAAAAGAGCTTGAATATGGACCAAGTTGCACAGCATTGCAATATAGCCTTAACAGGAAACACACAGCCCTCCTACGAGAGGGAATCTTTGGCTTTAACTACCCCAAGGCCGTTTTGTCCATTGCTCCCTCTCAGTAGATGAAGCAGACCAAGTAGAAGTGCTTTACCAGGAAGATTTGAAAATAAAACTCAACTAGAATCACCATGCAAACAGCCATTTTGTGTCTCTGCAAAGAGGTATCAAAATGTAAATACAGCAGTATTCTTAGAAAAGAGAATGATTTCAAGTTAAAAGTACTAAAATAAACAACAGTTACAGATAAACATGATTTAAAATTCATCTCTGAAGGATCAACTTAATCCTTGTTCCTCTTTGACAGTACTTGAGCAGAAGGTGACCACTACTGCCATCACTAGCCACCAAAACTTGCCAAGGAACTCCATCCTTTACCATGAGGGCAAGGTTAGCAGTGGCATTGCTGATTCTAGTTCACAGAAAGGATTGGTTGAGTTCCACACTTTTTGAACTTCTGAACAGAGATGTTCTTTTCTAACAATACCTCTGCAACAGCAGCAGCAGCTGACAGCTACACTTCGCTGGGGAGCCTTTTCCTTGCTACATACAGTATTATCCAGCTGGCAGAAATACCAGGGAACCACTGTGCTGCCACTAAGAAACATTTCCTGTATATTTATTGGTTGTACTCCAACCTTTTCATATTTGTTCAGCACAGCAGTAAGCAATTTCTTCTGCTTCACATTTGGATTCTGGAAAAAAAAAAAACTTTTGGTGGTCACCGAAGTTTAATCATCTACCTATCACTACAATCAACAGGTATAACATCCAATTATTGATCTGTAGGAAAACCTTCTTATGGTCTTCTGGGTGCACACCCTCCCCCCACCCTCTGTTCAGATGCATGCCGTGACCCCGTTCGGGGCCCACCTGTTGTAGCGTGGCCTTGCCACTGCAGCACAGGCTACTGCTGGCCAGCTGCACCTGCACCCACAGGAGTGAAGAAAGCACTGGCTGCTGGTGGCTGGCAGCCGACGGGACCATGGGCAGCTAGGTGGCCAGCCCGCTGTGCTTTGGGCTCACTGCAGCTGACAGCTGCCCTCTAGTGATGTGGATGCAGTAGGAGACTCCCATAAGTTATTCACAAAATAGTAACAGGTAAGAAGAATATTGTTGCTTCATTTCGTTCTAGAGCAACAGATCAATACCACGACCCTTTGGACCTGGCCTCTGGGCATTTACCAGCTGCCGTGTGAAGGCCCAGCCCGACGCCTGCACAGAGCAAACCTCACGAAGATCTACAGAAAGAGCAGCTGCCTGTGGACAACCAGGTGATCACAGCTACCCTGCTCCACTGGGACTCCAGGGAAGGAGGCTGCAGGGAGAAACCAGTCAGTGTCTGAAGAGGAGCAGGCAGAACTATGCCTTGGTTCCGTCAGACAGCAGTGCCAATCAGGCAGCACCAGGGCTGGGTGGCAGCCTCCTATGCTCACCACGACCTGCCTGCCATCCCGGCCCCTTCCACTTGCCTCAGCTGCTGTAATAGACATGAAAGAACAGGGTCTTATTGCGCAGCAGGGAGTAGGAGTTATCGAACTTGAGCAGGTAGATGCCCTCGCCAGGGTACTGGTGGCTGCCCGCCTGCACCTCCCGGTGGCTGTTCCTCCGGTACACGGGCACGATCTCTCCGTAGCGGCTCCGCAGGCAGCTTCTGGAGCCCCGTTCCACATCGCCGGCGGGGACGAGTCCTGAAGGGGAAAGAGGAGACAAGCTGGTGGGTCAGAGACAGTTAAGCCACTAGGTAGTCCAGAAAAAGAGCAACAAGACCAAAACGCAGCAGAGGCGAACAGGTAGATGGAAGGCAAACTACAACAGCATTACTCACAGCATCTGCTCTGACCTTTCTGCAAATAATACCCACAAAGTCCAGCCTTCCTCATCCTGACAAAGGACAGGACGAGAACCAGCTCTCTTGGGCATACTGATAGGACAGTATTCATTTGCCTGCCAGCCTGGTCTCCTCTCCTCTCCATGGATTTACCTTTTAGACCCCTCACTGCTTTAATACGCACCACAGTGGTCCAGTGAGACAGACTTGAAGCAAAAGAAAAGTGGGAAAGCTCTTAGCTATAACCCCACTCTGTTTCTGCCCTCAATTCACTTCTCCAAGAGGGTTCCTCATACAGGAGCCTATCACTCTTTGTAGAGCCTGCAAAATTAATTTTAGACACCAGCCCCTCAGCTACCTTGGTCACATGTGCACTGAAGCCACAGAACAGACAACATGGCTGTGTGTTTCCCAAGTACAAAGACAGAGATAATAATCCTCTCAAATGCAGTCAGCAAGAGCTACTGAAGCACTGTGGGGGGGAAAAACAAAACAAAACAAAACAAAACAAAAAAAAAAAAAAAAAAAAAAAAAAAAAAAAAAAAAAAAAAAAAAACACGAACAAAAACCACCAAACCAGATAAACCCAACAACCAAACAACAAACCCCAGAAAAAGAAACCGGTTTTGCTCCTACTCCCCACCAGAAATTACTCTGTCTGAGAGGCTAAGAAAAACAGTCAAGTTAAAATTTCAGACCCTAATCTTTTTATCAGTTAAAAGTCGAACAAGTAAATTCTGATTTTATTTTTTCAATGTGTTTACTTCTAAGAATACTCTTGGGGGACAGCCACTGACATACGTTGAAACAGGAAGGGCTAAATGCTTTCTCATCACAGCCTAAACAAGAACCCGACAGGCTGCAGAGATAAGAAGCAAGCCAAGTAAACGAAGTGGACAGAAATTACAGCATTTGACGCACTCTCAGCAGCACGGCAACAAGCACCACATATTAACCCTTGTAAGCTCTGCACTAACCTTCAATTTCATCCTCCTCCTCTTCGTCCTCCTCATCACTGGATTCGCTGACCTGAACAGTAATGGCAGTGCTAGTAACTGTGGTCCAGTCAAAATAGACTCCAAAGCCAATGTCGTAGTCATCTGTAGCAAACTCCCAGCAGATGGATCTCCCATCGGGATGGGTCGGCACACGGACTGTCACCACCTCACCTCGCTTCACCACCATCTGGCCATTCTTCTCCTTTCCCATCTTGGCTTTGAATTCCTTCATCTTCTCAGTGGTCCACATGGTGGGTGGAGCCAGAGGGGGAGGCTGAGCTGAGACAAGAGAAAAGACTGTGTGGTCACCTGGCTCTTCACTACCAACAAATTGTTATCTGAAAACAGTGAGGCTACTTCTGGTAAGCCTTTTTACATTCTGGAGCCAGCTCCCAGATGCCTTAGATGTGAGGTTTTCCAACCGGCTAGCCAGGAGCCCACATTTCCAGCAAGAATTAGCAGGACAGCCTCTGCTCTTCTCTAGCCCGGGCAGGCACTTAAAAAGCATCCCAAAAAATGTTTTCCTTTCAGGACTCACCTTTCCTTTGCTCCCCAAGGAGGTCTGTGGTCTCCAGCTCAGCTGAAAGGATATCCACAGCACCAGTGTGATCGGACTGAATCATGACTATATCCCCTGCTCCTTGAGGTACATGGTAGTTGGTTATCCCAACAACAGCTTTCTGCACAAAGCATGCAAGAAACATTGTAACAGGGTAGTAAGAAAGTCCCCATCTGGCTTTCAAACAACTCATTAGTAATTCATACATCTTTCTGAAGCCAACTCAGAACCTGCACAAACTTCTATTAGTTAAAAGAACTGTCTGGCTCTGAGACACCTCTCTGTGTTATTTCACCCACAGCACCAAAATCATGAGCTTTGAAATCAAATGCTGCATTATTCTCACAGATTACACACCCCTTGGCCTTTCCAGGAGTCCCTGGGCAAGCACATCTTTGCATCTGCCTCAGAGTTAATTGTCACCTCTCAGCAAAGCAACAGCCTTACAGATTTAGCTGATGACTCTTGGAAAGAATTCCCAAGACACAACTCTCTCTAGAGAGCCTTTCAGCTCTGTGTACATCTAGACTACGACCACAAATGTCATTTGCTGCATCCCAGTTAAAAGCCCATTTGGTTCACTAGGGGCAGCCCTCTTTCCTCATATGCAAACCCATAGCTCCTGTGCTGGGTGCCAACTGCACAGGTTTTCCTGACTGTATGCGTAACACAAACAAATTGGCTGCTCACCAAATCAAACAAAACAGCAGAGCCACTTTCATTTCCCTCTTCCATAAATCTGCATGAAGAGAACTCCCAAAAGCCCCAGACAAGAGGCAGAAGGTGAGAGTAACCTTGAAGCCTTAGTGAGCCAAAAACTGCAAGGAACTGAGGACTAGCCAAAGACACAAGAGGGATTTTGCAAATGAGACTGGTGACATTTACATCCTACCAATATACAGAAAAACATATAACTGAATCTGTGTTAATACCACTTTTGTCTTCACACAACCCTCAAAGCTGTGCTTATGGCTATGGGACCGAGGGTTTAAGAACTACTGCTGCACCTCTGTCCTTGCTTTCACACACAGAAAGACACACCTACCCCTTTGAGGGGCTGGATTTGGTCAGGCAGCTTCTCTTCCAGCTCAGCCACCTCCTGGTTCTCCAAAGTGCCACCTTCTTGCTTCAAGTCCTCTGTCACACCCGCACTCAGGAGCGACCCAGTCTGCGACCTTTTGGGGGAAGAGCACACTGCCATTCAGCACCCAAACCTGGGGCACAGCCACCAGAGGAATCACTCTGCTCAGGTTCAAATGAACTGAGGAGAACAAGCTTCTGTAGTCAGCACCTGCCAACTGCACAAAGAGCTCTCTGCATCCCAGTTCTGCCCTCATCTCTGCGTGACTCCCGTGAGAGCCAGAAGAAGCAGCTTCAGTTGTAAACACCCCATATTTAGTGTCCTTTAGACGACAGTAGTTCACCACACTCGCCCACAGCATGCTAGCCCACCTGACTGCACTACATGCACAAATCAGTAGCAACTCTTCTGTTCAAGGAAGGACAACTTCTTTTATCCCAGATACTACCTGACATCTATATGCTCCATCAGAGGTCAGCTGGATCAGTGAAAGGATTCAAAACAGTTTTGACAATCATCCTGAAAATGCCCTCTATTTCAGGGACCCATTATGCCTTTTCTATTAGCAATCCCAAGAGGTACAGGAAGCACCCAGGTGCCTCTCTGTCAGATTCAAATATGCTGCACAGACCAGCAAGCCATAAGGCATAAACAGCAGCACAGTGACAGCAAAAATGTCCAAGTACTGCACTGTGACAAGGCACATGGACATGTCAGAGCAAAAAAGAAAGGTATATAGCAGGAAAAGAACAGGCAAGAAAGAAAACATCTGCATTCATTCTCTGATGCGGGTTTTCTTCTAAATTATATTTTTTAAATGCTGCATATTGTCTGTAGCTGAAGAGTTATCACCCTAAATGAACTTGGATGCCAGAGGTCTCCTCTGCCATACTTTCAGATACTATGTGAAACTTCCCGTGACAACCCACCTAGTCTTTAATAAGACAGTTAAAAACAGTTGCCCTTTTAAAAAGCAAGCCTGCTCACAGCACTGTAAAACCAATGTCAACTGCCTTTGCCTAAAGGATCAGAAAAATGAGAGCACAGGAGTAACAGAAAATATATGCATTTCCTCAAATGTCACCTTTCAGAAAGGACAAATATTCTCATTACCAAGGAAGCAGACTGTCAGTATAATGTGGAATAGTTTAAAAAAAAAAAAAAAACAAAAAACCACACAAACATACACAGTTCAACTCAGAGACATTCCTTGCTGCATCCACAGAGAATACAAGAACAAGGCAAATGTACCTTTTGTTTCCAAATCTTTACTCCTATGGGGGCGCAGATTTTATCAAGAAATAAAACTATTTCTTTCTTAAATTCTCTCAATGGTGTGATTTCCTTTCCTAGAAATGGCATGATAGACCAGAAGGTCTGTAAGAACAACTCAAAGGAGCTGAATACCAGGATACACAAAATGACAGCAGATGGACAACATAAGAAAAGAAGGGACACTTGGAGGGGAGTATTTTAAATAAGAACTCACAGTGATCTGTAACAATTTTTCTGGCAGCCCAGGCCAAATGTGGATCTTCTATCTCACCATTCTCCAGCCCATTTGCTTTTTAGCTTAGCAGTTGCATGATCACACATAGAAGGGCTATTTGGTCACTTGCTACCATAGATAGCTCTAAAGGCTCTCCATCAACAAATGAGCTAACAGTTTGGGAATTTTTTCCTCCAGATGCCACTGAGAGATTAGGACGAGCTACACAAGCTTGATAAACAGATTAACAGACAGTTCAGCTGATTCATCCTCACACAACCTCTTTGGACCACCTCTGTCCCTCTCAAAGGAGATTTAACTTGGACAAATTGACCAAGTAGCATCCATAAGTATTCAGCATGTACTCTGGCAATTTTGCTCACAACATATATTAATCTCTTTGAAGAAAATTAGAGATGGAAGAACACATGTTTGAAGTAATGAATGCTGATACAGATGCCATCATCATCAAGTCAAGACAGCCTCAAACTGTTTTAGTAAGTAGGGTGGTTTGTTGTTTTGTTGTTGGTTTTGGTTTTTTTTTTTCCCCTGGATTTTTTCCCCCCTTTTTTCCAATGATGTTGTGGTTTACCTACTGTCTGATGTAATTAACTCACACATTTCTGAATTTTTATCCTGTGCAGCAAACGTATCATGGCAAATGGCCCTCCACTGCACACAGTGTTTGTAATCAATGCAACAACTGTCACAACGGTGTGCCCGACAGATAATAACAAGTCAAACATTGGATAACAGAGTCAATTAGCAGCATTAATGGAGGAATGACAAAGAAAGCAAAGGGTAAGAAAAAAAAAAAACATTGCCAAGAACACTGTAAAAGCTGTTTTCTTACTTAGCTTCCACCAGAGCTACAGATAGTGGGAATGTTTAATTATTAAAGTATCCTTCAGACACAATAAATTTCCTGCTGCAAGTTTATTAGCTCTTACAATGGACTACAAAACCCTGCAGAATTCCTTCCAAGCTGAATAATTCTGTGATTTGAATAGCTGAGCCATGTACTACAGTTCCTCATTTCATAAGCTTTAAAACAACCTTAAGCCACAAAGAACAGCCCCTCCTGCACCGACGGCAGTATGTACTGCCCCGAAGTAGACAGGCTGGTCTCCTCTTCACCCGCACAGAATCAAGAGGGGAGCTCACGGGGGTGGAGAGGCTGTCATGCACGTGGGCCACAAAACAAAAAATGATTTTCCTACCCACTCTGCGACGCACTGGGCTCCGAAGAATCAACCAGCTGGTCTGCAGGCTCTGTCTTTTGAGCCGAGTCTTCATTTTCTAACAACAAACAATATACAGGGAGAAGGTGAAATAAATTTTGGCCTTCAGAATACAGACAGGAAAAGAATCTGCAGCCAGCACTCAGACAGAGAGGTCAAACAACTGTGGAACAAACTGCTGTACCAACCAGTTGTTCATGGCATGAGCTGTAACTAGCACCCTGCAGAAGAAAGATGTTTCATAGTCTCAACCCGAAGAAAGGGAGAACAAAAAACCCATGCATGTTTCTGGGGCAGAAGCAGGGTGCGTTCAGGAACCACCAATCCTAGCTTTAGGACAGAACAAGGCCAAATTTCATCACGGAAAACGGGGCTGAGAAAGCCGTGGAAAAAGCAATCACGCAGCGGCTCCCGCAGGGCGCTGACGAGATGGAAAATCCCCGCTCCGTGCTACGGGACCGTCTGCCTGTAAGGATGGCTCCTGGTCCCCCCGCGGCCCCCGACCGCCGGCGCAGCC